ACAAGTGAATACTGGAGTTCAGTAAAGCTCACCTGGGTAGGTAAACCTTTTCTGGTTAGCACAATCCTGGATTAGTAGCATCAGTACAGTGCTGGACGGTTCTTGATGAAGATTGTCATTTGCAATATTATGGCATACAGGTAGTCCTCAACTTACAACCACAATTGGGACCAGAATTTCTACTACTAAGCAAGGTGGGTGTTTAATGAATTGTCCCAATATTATGACCTTTTTTTTGCCATGGTTGCTTAGCCAACTATTCAGTTGTTAAGTGAATCTGCCTTCCTTCCCCCATTGATTTTGCTTGGTTACAACTGGTGATCACATGACTCCAAGATGCTACAGCCATGGTAAATACATGCTGGTTGCCGAGCGCCTGAATTTTGATCACAGGATAATGCTACAACAGTTGCAAGTGCAAGGATCAGTTGTAAGTCATTTTTTTCATTGCCATTGTAACTTCAAATAGTTACTATGAATGGTTATAAGTCGAGGGTTACCTGTATGTGATGGGGCAGAAATCCAATAGCCACCTATTTAATTGCATTGCTTGTATTAAAAATGTTTTCTTCAAACAGGCGTCCTGCAATTTTATAGCAATGTCCAGAATTCCATACAACAGCCAAAATCTTTTGTAGTTTCTTTCTTTTCCTTCCTTCCTTCCTTCCTTCCTTCCTTCCTTCCTTCCTTCCTTCCTTCCTTCCTTCCTCCCTCCCTCCCCTCCCTCCCTCCCTCCCTCCCTCCCTCCCTCCCTCCCTCCCTCCTTCCTTCCTTCCTTCCTTCCTTCCTTCCTTCCTTCCTTCCTTCCTTCCTTCCTTCCTTCCTTTGTCCTATTCTTTTCTCCAGCATGTCTAATAGTTTATTGGCAGTGCTGTATGCCTTTGAAATAAGTGAAAGGGTGGGCCAGTCCCCAAGTAGAAGTTTCATATTGCAGCGGCTATTTTGAAAGACTGCAGAACATCTCAACCCAACATGCTTTTTAATTATCCACTGCACATTTTAATATACTTTGCTATTATACCCACCTGTTTTACCTCCTTAAGGTACTGCCTGAAGCATTTTCATTATCCTGTTAGATGTCAGGGGATGAGTTTGCATATTAATGTTTTTCAGAGCTTAGAAAAATATTGCTGCAATCAGCAAGATCTTCATTTAGCAAGGTCTTCTTTCTCTTATTTTGACTGAAAAAATGCTAAGAAAAAATGTTAAAGCAGCCTATGGCAACACATGGTGTAACCTTATTCAATAACAAGAAAGTTATTTTTTTTATTGATTCCTTAGAACAATTCATAATCTGCTTTCTTTCAAGTAGAAATTAATATAAGCATTTTTTCAGTTAAGATGAATAAGTAGGTCCTGTGGACACATGCTTAAAAAAAAACACCTCATTTTCCATTTGCTTCTCCTGATTCAAACCACATATATTTGTGTGGGAAGTACCAATTACTCAGAGATCATTTTGTCACCTGCTCTTTGCCAACACCATTTTCCCCCAGACAAAAAACAGTGTGATGGGGGAAAATGAATATATTATATGGAAACACAGAAATATATAGAAAATAAAAGCAAGTTGCTTCTTGACTAGAAACAACTCAGATTTTAAAATTCTTCCTCATTACTTCCACCTGAAGGGTTTTGTGGGCTTTTGTCATGGTGTTGGGGAGACCTCTGCTGGTCATATGCAGAAAGTAAAATTCAGTTTATCCTATAGTAGTGATTTAACAGGATAAAAAATTATCAGTGTTACAGTGACAATCAAATTAGAATACATATGTTTTGTGAGATATGTGTATATATTGGAATCATTAGGAGCGGTCTTGAGTTGTTGTTGTTTTGAAAATGGTTGCAGTGAGGAATAATTTGGATGTGTGGGGGAGAATAAAATTACTGTGTGGTCGTTGATGTACTCTAAGTGTGGTTATTTTTTTGCAGATGTTTCACTATCCAACTAAGTAACATCTTCAGTGCTGGAAATGTTACCTAGATGAGTAATTAAATGTCTGCAAGAAAACAACCAAACTGGGAGAACATCAAGGATTTCACAGTTCAAGTACGAGTTACAAATATTCTCTTCTATTAACTTAATTACCTCTTTTCACAATTCCATTTTTAAAAATCTAATGTTCACACATTATGAAAAACATGTTATCTAATTTTTATCAAGCAGGACAAATGGCAACATAAACATAAATGCTCATTATATCATAGGACAAATCGAAATAACTAATCGTGCATGCTAGGTTGGAATCTAAAATGGGTCTTTTCAATATTAAAATAAAATTAAAAGAATAAGTCTTATGTTGATCAGTTTCTTTTACTCCCTAACTGAATTTTATTAGGACCTATCAAGATCTGTAGAGTAAGGAGAGAGTTTGTGCAGAATCTTGCAGTTATAGTACAAGACCAAAAGCATATTTTCATTAGATTCATAGTTGATTTAACCACAATTTATGTAAAAAAAAACATGATTAAGTGGATTCAAAAAACCATTTATGCCATATAATCATGCTTTACATACAATATTGCCTAGATTCACAGTGTAAGAAGAACATCCCAAAAAGTGAGAGTTGGTACATTCTGTAAAATAGATGTTAATGTCATCGAGACAGATTTCCCCTCTATTTTTGGACCATTTTGAATTTAATTCAAACAAAAAATAAATTTTTTAAATAAAATAAATTTAACTAAATATCTGAAATCTGCTTATGAGTATACATTACATCAATTGTTAAAATTATGAAATCAAAGAATGTTTGTGATGGCTCTGCTATATGTTAACTTTTTGAAACACAGTCGAAGGTGGGTGAGTATAAGACATGCCATCTGGGTTAAGGAGGTCATGGGAATGTTGGGAGTTAGTGAAAAAGGCTGTGCAGGTCATGGAGCGTGCACAAGGGGGCAGCAAGTCTTGGGGAGTGGCATGGGATGCACAAGAGGTGCTGCACAGATAGGTGAAAGTGCGCAGGGAGAGTGGCACAGGTTGGAAAAGGTGCTTGAGGGTGGCTTGGCTAAGAAGGGTGTGTGGGGCTTCCTTCCTTTTTGTTTCTTGTTCTTTTTCTTCCTTCCTTCATGGCATTTATAATTTAGCCCATTTGAGGTACCTTTGTTGACAAGGTTTTGCCCTATGGTGCACCATTTCACCTATTAAGAGTTACAGACACAAGAGTTTAAGTAGGAGAAGTAGTATACAAGATTTAGTTATATAGCTCTGTAAAGGACCTTGGAATACTCACCTCTAATGATCTAAGTGCTAGAGCCCACTGCAACTACATAGCCAAAAAGGCATTAAGAGTTGTTAACCTAATCCTACGTAGCTTTTTCTCTGGTAATATCACACTACTAACCAGAGCATACAAAACATTTGCTAGACCAATACTCGAATACAGTTCATCAGTCTGGAACCCACACTACGTATCTGATATTAGCACAATTGAGAAAGTCCAGAAATATTTCACAAGAAGAGTTCTCCACTCCTCTACTCGTTGTAGAATACCTTATGCCACCAGACTTGAAATTCTAGAACTTGAAAACCTTGAATTACGCCGTCTTCGGTCTGACTTAAGCATGGTATATAAAATCATACATTGCAATGTCCTACCTGTCAATGAATACTTCAGCTTCAACCATAACAACACAAGAGCACACAATAGATACAAACTCAAAGTAAACCGCACCAAACTTGATTGCAGGAAATACGACTTCAGCAATAGAGTGGTCAATGTCTGGAATACTCTACCCGACTCTGTAGTTTCTTCCCCAAACCCCAAAAACTTGAACCTTAGACTGTCTACTATTGACCTCACCCCTTTCCTAAGAGGTCTGTATGGGGCGTGCATAAGCGCACCAACGTGCCTACCGTCCCTGTCCTATTGTTTCTCTTATTCTTCTTTTATTCTTCTTATATGTACCCATTTCATGTATTCACAACTATGTATACACTTATACTTATTATCTTGTAAACAATTGGCAAATCAAATAAATAAATAAATAAATAAATAAATAAAACATCCCAAAAAGTGAGAGTTGGTACATTCTGTAAAATAGATATTAATGTCATCGAGACAGATTTTCTCCCTATTTTTGGACCATTTTGAATTTAATTCAAACAAAAAATAAAAATTTTAAATAAAATAAATTTAACTAAATATCTGAAATCTGCTTATGAGTATACATTACATCAATTGTTAAAATTATGAAATCAAAGAATGTTGTGATGGCTCTGCTATATGTTAACTTTTTGAAACACAGTCGAAGGTGGGTGAGTATAAGACATGCCATCTGGGTTAAGGAGGTCATGGGAATGTTGGGAGTTAGTGAAAAAGGCTGTGCAGGTCATGGAGCGTGCACAAGGGGGCAGCAAGTCTTGGGGAGGGGCATGGGATGCACAAGAGGTGCTGCACAGATAGGTGAAAGTGCGCAGGGAGAGTGGCACAGGTTGGAAAAGGTGCTTGAGGGTGGCTTGGCTAAGAAGGGTGTGTGGGGCTTCCTTCCTTTTTGTTTCTTGTTCTTTTTCTTCCTTCCTTCGTGGCATTTATAATTTAGCCCATTTGAGGTACCTTTGTTGACAAGGTTTTGCCCTATGGTGCACCATTTCACCTATTAAGAGTTACAGACACAAGAGTTTAAGTAGGAGAAGTAGTATACAAGATTTAGTTATATTTTCAAGCACTAGATTGCACACAATCTTTAGAACTCTTGCTAGATAGAACCAAGCTACTTTTGAAAAATGTACAGTTTCCTTTCTTTGTCTCTACTCTTTGTTCCCTTGCACAGATTTTCCTTATACAGGGAAGTGTCCAGTTCTTGGAAAAAATTAAGAGTTCTGTCTGGTAAGTTCATGTTGTGTAAGCACTGAAAACCACAGCTAGTTTGTATTGGAAACAATGAAGCAGGAAGAAAGAATTCACTTTGAACCCAACCAATTCTAGCTCCTTCTGGGGATCATCTCCTAAAGGGAAACACAAAACTCAGGAGTTTCTACACGCAGGGAGATTTCCATTATGCCAGGCTACTCAGAATTTTATTTCAATGTGGATCATGGTTATCTAGAAGGACTGGTCCGAGGCTTTAAAGCTGGAATCTTGAAAGCTTCTGATTATGTTAACTTAGTCCAATGTGAAACCCTGGAAGGTGAGTTGGGTTATGTTGAAGTTCAGTGTTGTAGCTTTGGGGAAATTATTTGTCTGTCTGTCTATCTATCCATCCACCTATCTATCTATCATCTATCTATCTACATTGCCTTCTCAGTGGCAGCCATTCTGTACGTGGCAGATTTGTCTGTCTATCTATCTATCTATCTATCTATCTATCTATCTATCTATCTATCTATCTATCTATCTATCATCTCATTTCTGTACTGCCCACCTTTCTCAGAGAGGGATGCTGGACACTGTACAATAAAATGTTAAAATATGTAACAGTATACATAAAAGTTTAAAAGTAGGCAAGAGGTTAAAACTAGTTAAAAGACAAAGGAGGGCTTTCAGTGGACTAACCAGCATGAAACCTGCATGCTTCTTTGGGCTTCCCACAGAGCGGGGGCCTACCTCACCTCTGGGGAGAGAATATTCCACACGGTGGAGGCAATGGCAGAGGAGGCCCTCTTCCTGGACCCCGTCAGTTGGAGTTATTTAATTGATGGGGTCTGCAACATAATTTCCCCACCTGCTTGGTGGGATGCTAGGCTGATGTAATGGGTCGAAGATGGTTCTGTGAATAACCTGACCTTGTGCCATGCAAAATTATAGTGTTGTCTCTCTTAAAGAGAGAAAAACATATTTATCTTGGCATTAGATTAATTTGGATGAAGGAATGTTGGATATGTGACTAAAATTAGCAAAATTGAAACGTGGAATTATCTTTAAATGAGATCTTTAGATCTCAACTAGGATGCAGGCAGAAATCACCTTGAGAAAAAAGTTAGTAATCTTTTTGGGTTACATTATGAGTTGTACCAGAATTATGCTGCTGTTATGCAGTTATTGTAATAATGAGGATATGTACTTCTATAGTCTAATATTTAATTATAGTAGTAGCAAGGTCCATTAGCCACATTAAAACATTACCTGAAACAAGCAGAAGTAGAATTTTAGGACTATATATTTTTTTAATTCAAAAGCATAAACATTGCTCTGTTAAAATTTTTGGCTACACTTTAGGATGTCTTGAAGCTGCAACAGATTTACAGAGTTAGGGCTAGATTTAGAAGAGAAGCTGCAAGAAATATGTACATATATCTAATATATGACTATATTAAACTGTTGATGGGCTGCTTTCAATACTTCCAAAGGAAACTAGAATACAGAATCTATGTAATCCATAGATGAACCTAAAGCAATTCCAGAATAATTAATACAACTATAACAACTTAAAACAAGAAGTCACAAATGCGGGAATTACTACTAATTTATTTTGAGTGATTATATGCATGACTAAAATTACTAGAGATGAATTATGCATGTTATATTTATGATATTTTAAATTTCCAATGTAATTAGAGTCACTTGAATACAACAACACACTCGTGTTTTGAGATCATTATAGGTTATTTTTGGATCCTGATCTTTCTGAATTCTTCAAGGCAGTCTGAGAGGTGATTAACTCCAGGTAAATCTTGCATTTAGAGTTTCATCTATGTACTTTTTCTATCTAAAAAAGAAAAGAAAGAAAATAAATTAGGGAGCATATACACAGGGCCAATGGCTCTGGTTATTTCACATCTCACCCTTTTACTACAGGTAAGGCTATAATCTTCAAAATGTTTTCCCAACAGATCACTGTTTTTAATTCTGCAACCCTTTGTTTGGCATACAACTCTGATTAGTTTATATTGGCAAGCTTTAGCCTAACAGAGTGACTGCTAGATTTAACCTTGAAAGACTGCATGATGCTAGATATCAATAAAGACATACAGAAAATGTGTTGCTGTCATTCACAGCTGTCTGGATATTTACAGCACCATTCTAGTAGCTCAATCTATTCACACATCTCCAACTCCCCCTTTTTTCTGATACATTCTAGTACATTTTTTTTATTTATTTAGCATATTCTCTCTTTCTTTCTCCCTACTAAAATGAACTTCCAAAAAGTTTTGATTTTTCTTAGAAAAACTCACCCAACCCAAACAACAACCATCATTATGAGAAGGATACTAAGGAATTGGAGCCTTCAACCTCATTGTAATGGAAAGAGGAAATTACTGAATTGAAGAAGTTAGTTTCCAGAAATTATATAGGAATTGATAGAAATAAAAGAAGGCATGTAGGATGATTATTGCCTACTGCTTTCCTGAAGCCTAAACATTTTGAAACATATTAATTAAGCTCGCACTCATATGTGCCCTGCAAGAAATCTTCAAGATGTTCATAGTTTTCTTTTTGAAATAGTTCTATAAAAGCTACTATAACAATTTTACTGCTTAGGAAATAAGTGAGTAGTGAAATTCTAAAAATAATAACAGCAGCAACAACAACAACAATAATAACAACATTAATACCTAGGATGCTGGCAGCAACCTGTATCAACCATCAGTGCCAGTCAGTGATATTTGCAGGGATGGGATTCTACTGGTTCAGACCGGTTTAGGCAAACCCCTTGCTCCGAAGATAACCTGGCAGTGAACCGGTTCCCTGTGATGAGCATGTGGGCCCACCTGCCTGACCCTGCTCTTTCTTCTGCTTTATTTCCTTTTTTTAGAGCACAACTGATTTGCATGGCACATTGGTTTGCCTTGCCTCAGCTGTTTTATTCACAGGGACTGCAGTAGAAGGTAAATATTACAGCTTTTTAAAATGCGGAACGCACGCACAAAATGCGTGATCACCAAAACGGTTGTTATACCAGTGGAATACCAACTCTGGATATTTGTGATACATGTTTAAATGCTCAGTTGACTGAGTTTCATGGTTAATGAATATAACGATAACGATAATGGTAACGATAACAGTAACAGTAACAATAACAATAATGCCATCAAACATCCAGATTTGCCTATCCCAGGTCCTTGATAAGGACTCATTAGGTAGACAAAAATGCCAAACCCAATCTGAACATCTGGCTGACTGGGTGATAAATAACAACAATAACTACTACTACTGTTATTATTGTTATTGTTGTTGTTACTGTTGTTACTGTTATTGTTATTGCTGTCATTGCTGTTCTTATTGTTGTTATTGTTGCTATAATTATTAAGCAAAGCACTTACTCCATACCTAATATCTGGGTTTATATTGGTTAGCACTTTAAGGGCAAATGCAATTCCATATAATTCCAATTTGGAATATTAGGAGCAATTAAAGGATTTAGTCCCTGTAGTCCAACGTCCAGGAACAGTGTAGAAATCTGGACTTGATCATTTGATGGCATGCAAGGGCTGCTATCCCAAAAGGGAGTTGAATCAAGGTAAACAAGTGGATAGTATATAAATTGCAGTTAACTGAAATTGAAATTGAGTTCAATGTCAACTATGATTAAATTGCTTAAACTCAGTCAGAATGATTGCCCCTTATATATTTAAACTGGGATACCAGATGTAAGCTGCATAATTCCAGATAGCCATTAGATGACGCCTGAGTTAGACTTTCTTATTGCTACATCTAGTGGCAGTTTAGATCTGATAGCCTTATTTTGAGGAGAGATTCTGATTGCCATAGCAAATATGTTCTGCAGACTTATTCAAAGAATAACATTTCTATTTAGTTTTCTTTAGTTAGGATCCAGGCTTTTGTAAACCAGGATGTTGGGCCAAGAGCACATTCTGCTTTCAGATTTTGGCTTCTTAAGAGAACAACATGCCTAATAAATTAATTTATCTTGGTTTGGTTATACATTCTCTAATTTCTGACTTATACTTTTATCTTTTGAATTAAACAAAAACTATTGTTTGCACCAATTGCGATTTAGAAAATAGCTTCAGATTTGATTTCAAATCCAGCAGAGATGTTCAGCTGTTCTGACCAGTTCTGGAGAACCGGTAGCGGAAATTTTGAGTAGTTCAGAGAATCGGCAAATATCACCTCTGAATGGCCCCGCCCCCATCTATTCTGTGCCTCCCAAGTCCCAGCTGATCGGCTAGGTCTTATTTTTGTTGCCCTGCACAGGAGAATGGAGCTGTCAAGCAGGTTAGTGGGGTGGGGAGGGAATGGGATTTTGCAGTAACTTTCCCCCAGGAGGTGGGAGGGAATGGAGATTTTACAGTGTTCTTCCCCTCCCATGCCCACCAAGGCACACCCACCAAGCCATGCCACACCCACCAAGCCATTCCCACAGAACTGGTAGTAAAAATTTTTGAATCCCACCACTGAAATCCAGGTTTATAATCTCTAAACAAAGTATGATTTGTATCCAGATTGGAGATTAAAACTAAACATTCACACTTTGGAATGCTCCTGTACCTCAAAATGCCTACTGCAATATGTTAGGAATGTAAGTCACCTAACAGTTGGGTTGGAAATATACAAACCAGGATAGACATTTTAATACTGTCTCATTAAGGGAATGCTAAAATTGTAATTGAGTGTGGTTCCTCAAACGGCCATAAGATGGAGCCAGAAACCTGGTTTCCCAGAGCGTGTTGCCCTTGCTGCATTTCCCTATTGACTGTTGCTGATCATTGTTATTCTTGAATTGGATGTGAGTCTTTTACTGAACTGTTTTTGATACTGGACTTAGTAATTGGATTATCCCTGGACTGAAAACTGACTGCTATAACCATGTATGACTTGGACTGTTTGTTGGACTTTGCTTGACTGTTTACTGGAAGTAAAACCTACATTTTACTGTACAGTGTAGCTGTGTGCTGTGTATGTGTTATTCAACATTACTCTCACTATGTCATCCTGTGTGCACTCATTCTCCTAATGGGGAATTACCTCAACACTGGTTATGGGCCCAGGCCATACCAGGCTCAGATAACTGAGAGTTAGTGTGAATGCACAGTCAGCTGTTTACTGTTTAATTGTGAATACAGACAGCTGTTTACTGTTTAATTGTGGGTTACTATCCTGGTAAAGATGGTACAAGACCCATCAACAAGTCTATCATTGATAACCCACTTGGATGGAACAAACTATGTTTCCTGGTCTATGAAGTGCAGTTTACTTCTGCGTAGGGAAGGGTTATGGAATACAGTTCAAGATCCACTGGATGTAAATGCTTGGGATCCAGATAAAGAGGATTGATGCCAAGAAGTTAGCTGACTTTTAATGGAACAACGAACAAGCGAACAATAATTGGACTAACACTGAGTGACCAGCAGCTAGTCCATATTCATGGAGAAGAGTCTGCTGCTAGATGTTGGGAGAATTTGAAGAGGATTTGTGACAGTGTAGGTGCACACATACATCTTACACGCAAACTGTTTAGAGCACCTCTTCTGAAAGGTGGAGATATGTTAGCTCATTTGAACTTCATGAAAAGTACTTTTCAAGAGCTACATGAAAAGGAACTGATATTTTCAGAGCTGCATCAAGTTTACATCATTCTTTCCTCATTGGATGAAAGTTATGATGATTACGTATCTTCACTGGAAGTCCTGACCAAAGATGAACTGACATTGACTGACATAACCAGAAGGTTGTTAGAAGAAGCAAGAAGATGACTGGATAGGGACCAACTGAGGAAGGAACAACCACAAGAAGAGGATTTGTGTTCAACTGCCTATATTGTTAGGAAAAGTTTTTCTTGTGGGGCTAGGGGACATATAGCTAGATTCTGTAAGAAGGACAAACGACAGAATACTGATAATCACCCGAAGGCTAAGAAGAATGTTAGTTTAGCTATGTCTAGCAATTCAACTGTAAATCATGATTTGTGGGTTGGTGATAGTGGAGCATCGCAGTGCATTACTAAAGATAGAGAGAGGTTTGTAAAGATGTCTACGAGTAAGCAACATGTATCATTGGCAAATGGATGGAAGATGAAAGCGTCTGGTGAAGGTACTGCATATTGTTTATGGGTAAATGAGCATTTAACTATGTTATATGTACCTAAACTGAAATTTAATTTGTTATCAGTAAGGGCTTTAGTTAATATTGGTTATGTAGTAACCTTTAGGGGAGTATAAACTGTATAACAGAGAAAGAGGGTAAAAGTGTTACTGCTAATTTAGAGAACAATTTATATGTGATACATGATGACCTGTTGAAGATGGCTAACTTGGTTTATAACAATGTTAAGCCACATGATGAATGTGTACATTTACTACATAGATGTCTGGGGCACATTAATTTCAAAATGCTCAAACAAACTGTTGAATTGTCAGAGGGAGTAAAATTAAATCCCTGTAGCAAGTACTTAAACTGTAATGCCTGTAGTCAGGAGAAAAGTAAGGTTACTCCAGCAAACAGACTGAATGGGTTTAAGACCAAAGAACCTTTATTTATTTATTTTTTAATAAATAGTGATGTTCAATATATGATCTTTAAAGTGTCTGTTGAAAATATATTCTTCACCTAGGCCTTTCCAATATAAAATGTGGAAATATTCCTTTCCACTGTTTTTAATTAATATATTTGTTATTGAATAAGGTATTATAGTATTTTAGTATATCATGATGATTATTGATTTCAGATGCTTTGATCTAAAAAGTGTTTAAAAATAATATAAATATTGTATGCAGATGTATACATGTCATTGAGATGGGAAATCAGTATGATTTGTCACTTAATTTCTTTGAAAACAATAAATTTATTGTTATTATCTTTTCAATTCTGTTTTAGACCTGAAGTTACACTTACAAACCACAGATTATGGAAACTTCTTGTCCAATGAAACTGATCCTCTCACTGTCTCTACAATTGATGACAAACTAAAATTCAAACTGCTGACAGAATTTCAGTATTTTAGAAATCACGCCTTTGAACCACTTTCAACTTTTCTAAATTATGTTACGTAAGTGAAGTTACTTCCTGAAATGATTGTACCAGTGAGCTATGAAGAGGAGCTCAAATCTTAATCTTCATAATAATGAAAAGTATAACATTTCGTTAAAAAGATGAAAAGATCTGGGTGGGAGACAACTAGAAAATCCTGGTGTTGTAGATTAGAGTAGGACACTAAAAAAACATTGCAAAAGATCATGACAAAATCCTCCAGTCTGTTGCCAAGAAACCAACATGGATACGTTCATCTATTCATTGGAAGTTAAACTCAACCCAAGGCAAATTTAACTTTTATCTTAGAATTTATTTTTAAAAAACCCTAGCTATCTCATGCATACATATTCTTAAATATGCTGTTGTTGTTTAATTATTTGTTATGAAAATCCCCATGTTATGTTTGTCAAATAACTTCATAAACTGTGTCTTCTTGGCTAGGTAGCTTCACACTGTGGGAATGGCCAAGCAAAATACAGAATGTTTCCATCCAGAAATATTATTTTTATCCATATGCCAGTTTAATACATAGACTTACATTATCAACACAAATTTAGCAATACAGCATTTTTATGCTGCCACACAACTGCTAGATAGCCTTCTGTATCTCTTTGCTGTCATGTACTAGTCTTTGGGATATCTTAATACTAAGTTGGGTCACCTTATTTAAAATCAGAAACAGAACTGCAACCTTTTTTTCCTAGATTTTTTTTTTGTTATGGCAGCAATATTTCACTCCGTAGGAAAGATGAGTCATAAAAACGGCAGAGAGTTTTTCACCTTTCAAACTTTCTTTCTTTGTAAAAACTAGTTGCAATTTCATAACACAGAGACAGAAAACAGATTAGTAGTCATCCTGCTCAGTGCAGGATCTGCTAGAATATCTCTGAGACATGAACATCCAGACTCCGTTTGAAAACTTCCAGCAAAAGTAAACTTATCACTTCATGTGGCTTCATGTTCCAGTGTCATATAAACAAGAAACCCTAGAATGATTCCCCCCCCCCCCGCCGTAGCATAAGCTATTTTTCCAAAGTTATTTAAAAATCAGTATGAAGTAGATGGAGCCTGTATGTTCAGAGAATGTTGAATGCAGATCATTGTAAAAACTTGGCATTGTTAAGCAGCATTTAGGCAATCCCGAATAGTGGAATGACCACTGTTGTTATCAACAGCAGCCCCCACCCCCACCCATCACCTCCATCTTGATCATTATTTGCATTCTTAGTAGTATTAGGTAGTTGGGTCTCATTTTCATTTAAATTTCTCACAAAGTTCTTATCCAATGTTGCTCCCAGGGTTTGTGAGAAAATTCAAATGCAAGGACATCCAATAACCCTCTTGGAGTATTCAAAATAACTCCGAGGTGCTATTATTCTCGCTCTTTAGGACAGTGTTGCTCAACTTTAGCAATTTTAAGATGAGTGGACTTCAACTCCCAGAATTCCCCAGCCAGCATTCTGGGAGTTGGAGACCACCCATCTTAAGTTGCTAAGGTTGAGAAACACATAGACAGCATGTTAGGAAGCATTGTGAGCAAGTCTTTCTATATGTTCTATAAGTATTCACATGGGTGCCTTACCTTTAGCCTTGGCAGTTGTAACAAGAACTCAAAAGGAGCTAAAGGCCAACAAATCTCCTCTTTCATGCCAGGCATTGGCACCATGGATTGAAATAGACATGCTTGGGATACTTGATCACTGCATTACTATAATGTTCTGGGTACCTGATATGGCACTTTTACATAATACAAGATGACAACCCAATTAGGAAACATAGCATTTAGCTAACCAAATAGAACAGTATTTGGTATGTTTTGGGCCCAAGCAGGGATGGTTGTATTTGATTATTGTTTACTACTCGCTGTTCCACTTTAAATTGAGTTAAATTGTTTTAATATGTCATGTAATTATTATGCACATATTATTTTTAGAACCATTAGTTACCATTGTTTTGTATCATTGCTGTAACCACTCTGACTACTTGGAGAAAATGAAAGTATATTAATTAATTAATAGTTTGCATCTAAAAATTAAAGATGCAAATGCTAGGCCAAGAGACCTTGTTCATAGTTCATTTGTCAAAGTTGCTTTGAGATGCTAGCATTCTGGAAACTAAGGAGAGTCAGCCTTGGTAAATTACTTGAATGGAGAACCATTTAGGAATTGCAGGGCTGTTGGATAGATTGAAAATAAATAAAAGCTACCACCCTGCTGAAGAAGACAAAGGAAAGACATTTTCATAACATTGCCAAGAAATCTGCCTGGATGCAACCACCAAGTTCAAATCATGGTGCCTTTATCTTAGATTTTTATTATGAGTGGTGTTTGGAATGAAGCTTTGCACCCACAATAATTCTGGGAAATATAGCAAACTGGGAAGAAACTTCTAAAACCTCTGATTGTTTTCTTATTTATTCATTTTAGTTAACAGATCCAGAGGTGGATCTACAAGTTCTTCTAAAGATCTTTCTTTGAAATTAGTGTGACTGATTTTAGCCTAAACACATTTTCCTTAGGCAGCTAACTTGGACTTTCATCAAAGAACAATTATGTGTTAGCTGTGTTCAGTATTGCTACATCACAGAAAGTTTTTTGTTCCCCTCAAATGCCAGAATAACTGACTGACTTTGAGTAGCATGCACTTAGACTGGAGACTGGGAGTCATCTGTCATTATCTCTTAGGCAACAACATAACTTCTTAGTCTATCTCCTGAGTTGCCACCAATCTTTTGGGTTCCCTTTCCTGAGAATGCCTATCAAGACATAGTGACCTAGAACCTGTTTTAACTCCCTTCTGATTCTATCAAAGCAAAATCTGTCTCAAGCCATCACATATGTACGGAAAAACATCATATTTCTATATTATTTCGTATTATAACATTTGCACACTTTTAAGTAAATAAATTTATAGCAAATGATTCCCATAGTTTCTGTTGTTGTGTGGTGAACAAATTATATGCATTTTGAATAAATTTAAATAGAAATGGGACATGTTAATTACATTCAAGCTCCATTGAAATAAATGACTGCTGTCCAAAAATATGTGTTTTGTGTGGAAAGAGTAATGTTCATTCAAAGAAAAACAATAGAAATTACTTGATAGGGTAATTTAATAAACTAATGTGGAGACTCAAAACATGCTGACAAGCTATTTGTTAGTAATGGATTTTTTTAAAAATTTGCAGTAAATATGTATGTTTTTTTTTCTCCTTTGTTGACTTCTAGCAACTGTCTGGACTACTCCCTGTAGTTTTCTTGGCAAATTTTTCAGAAGTGGTTTGCTATTGCCTGCTTCCTAGAGCTGAGAGAGACTGACTGGTCAAAGGTCAAACAGCTGGTTTTTGACCTAAGGCAGGACTAGAACTCACAGGCTCCTTGTTTCTAGCCTGGTACCTTAATCACTATGCCAACCTCACTCATATATTCAAATACTTACCTTTTAACTCTTTAAAATATTATTGTAGGGTGCACAGTGGCTCAGCAGTTAAAGCTTGTCTGCTGGAAAGCTTACAAGTCTGGGTTTAAGACCCCAGTGCTGTGCAATGGGGTGAACTCCCCAGATCCTGTCCACCTAGCAATTCAAAAGCATGCAAATGCAAGTAGATAAACAAGTACCACTTTGGTGAGAAGGTAACAGCATTCTGGTTGCCTCGGCTTACAGTCATGCTGGCCACATGACCGTGGAAATCTTAATCATTCTGGCTTCCTTGGCTGAATACTGCCCCTAGAGTTGAACACGATTGGACATAGGAACACCACCATACTAATATTATATTTCCTTCTTTTGTTTGAAGCACTGATTCTTTGTTTATTCAATTATTAAGATTTTGTGCCTGAACCAATTGCTGTGTTTTATCAGTCTGAATTAGAAACATAACCTATTGATTACTGCAAAAGGTTCTATAAGCAATTGCCTTGGAAGACAACCCAGAAGCAGCTTTGGTATAACATGCAGTACAGTTCAGTGGTTATTCTTAATGCATAAAGCCCATTATGGTTTGGAATATGGGTAGTTACAGATCTGCCTGGTTTAAATGGAACTGTTCCATCCAATGCATTTGCCTTGAGCTGTAATTCAGACAGACCTCTTCCCCATATCCACCCCTGCCCCTCTTGGAAGAAATCAAGAGAAAGCAACATGGCGTTTCTTGGTACATGCTCCATTTCTGTAGAATATTCTAATCCTGGAGATTTGGGTGGTACTATCCCCAGAGGCAGATAATGTGGAGAATGGATATTACCAGGTTAGAAAGTTGGAAGCTGTGAGTTCTAGTCCCACTTTCACCATAAAATTCAGCAGGGTGATCTTGGGCAAGTCACTTTCTCTCAGTTCAACCCACCTTACAGGGTTGTTATGAGGAAAATAAGAGGAAGTTGTGTTGGATTTGTTCATCACTTTGAGTTAATATAATAAAAATGGGATGCACACATTAAAATATTCTATGCGTTTTAATATTTGCTTACTTGGATGCCAATGTAACTTGGACTTGGTATTCTGCTTTACTGGGAGTAAATGCTATGTGTATTTCTGTAACCTGCTGAGAATCTGTCTGGGAGTCAGCATTATATAATACTGAAATTAAATAAATGGATTTGAATTGATACTTCATTTCTTAGAATATTATATTAAGTCCCTGATGCCACCAATCTGTCTTGTCTTAAAAACAGGAAAGTCTGCGTACATCTTCTCTATAAAATGTATTAATTAAACTTTAAGAGGAAAAATTAAATATTTAACCCAAATGACTTATCACCCAGAGAAGAAGGGCAGAGATGTGTCTTCAAACACATTGCTATGTGACTTATTAATAAGAGTCAGTAGCATGTGTCTCCTATTTATCAATATAAAGTAACATTTTCTTCCCAGACCTGTTGCTTTCCAAGTACTGTCAGCTCAGCTGCTATGACCAGGACTGGTAAGTTGTGGTCCAAAATATCTGAAGGTTATAAGTTTCAGAATGGCTGATAGAGAGATGAGAAAGAATGAGGATCACAAAATCCACATGCAGATAATGAAATGTGAAAACAGTTGGACTTTTCCCACCTCTCAATGTGCAAGGCTCCGCAAAATAGATTCCTTTTAGATGATATTGTCATTTTGTTTAATGTAGCATGCATTGTGAAGAAATTCTTATTTCCATTTTATCATATGATCCCTGCTTAGAGGAAAATTAACGTTCTGCTACAAAGCCCAAGATATTAGATTTAACATTAACCTGATTCTTGGATTTTAAAATATTTTTCAGAGAATGCAATAAAACCTTTGACTGATGTTATCTTGTCATGCTAGGTATAGTTATATGATTGATAATGTGATTCTCCTCATTACTGGTACATTGCGCCAAAGACCCATAGATGAATTGGTTCTTAAGTGCCACCCTTTGGGCAACTTCGAGCAAATGGAAGCTGTCAGCATTGCTCCAAACCCTGCAGAGCTCTTCAATGCAATCTTGGTGGACACACCATTAGGTACGTCACTCAATCTTTTCATAGATTTCTAAGTATGTTCCCATGGAAGAGAACATTTCCTACTATATCTTCTTCCTTTAAAAAATGTGATCCATCAAAATGAACATAACTTATTATGCTCTGGTTTACTTCATGATTACAGCACACACATTGTTTTAGTACTGGGAAGGCATAAATATTAAATAGTTTTTACACATCCTTTAGCTAAGTAGATCACAGGCTATACCCTTTGTATGAATGTTTGCTTTCCATGCATTTCTTTTATTATAGTAAATTGGTTAATAGAAGAAAAATGCATTCAATAAAGTTAACAATATATCCTCAAAATGAATAATAATGAAAATAAAATAAAATAAAATTAGGGGTAAAGGGAAAAAAATAAAAACAGTCTGGAAAAATGTTTTCAACCAAAAATACCATGACAGTATTGAGGAATGTCTTCTTTTTTGCCCCTTTGTCAAAATTATCAATAAAAATAAAACAAAAAACAAGGGATTTTAAACCAGTCCATTGCTGCAGAACAGGTAAATTTCTTCTTTCCATGTTATATCATGATTCTTTTCATCAGCACCATATCTGAAAAATGAAAAATATTAATAATGATGAATCCCAAATTTAAGGGAGACAGCCAAGATAAATATATGCTCTTTTAATAAGACAGTAATTGATCCAACCTTAATAAATTGAATCCAAACCACATGAGTTAATATTTCAACTCTTGAGTTGTATTTTCAACAGGGAAGGGTATTGTAAACAATCCTTACTGAAAATTTTCTGGTACATCCAATATGTAGAAATCACTTTGGGAAATTGATTCATTTTAAGATGATAAGAACTCAATTAACTTTATTTAAAGGGTGCCTTCACAGATCTATTTACATAGGACAGTCAAACTCAATATTGAGTATTTCCTTTCCTCTTCTTCAGTCATACATGTTTTTAATACTTTCAGCATTTCTTATAGCTTCATTGTGATAATTTGGTTTACTGTGCAAAAAAGGGTGTGTGTGTACATTTTTGCAATCTAAATATGTTTCTATGTGAGTTTGGTGACATATGAACCAAAGCTACCTTCAACTGAATCAGATTTACTAATCTTCTCCAATGAGGCTACCCTTCCGAAATCAGGCACTTCTCCCAGTGTCTCAGTTCACATGCCTATTGATATGAATTCCCAGAATTACTGTAAAGGCCATACATCTGGATGTTGCCAATTGAGGTGCTCTAACAACGATAGTTCTTCAAGATTTCAAATCTGATATACCAAACACAGAACTCAAAAACTTTTCTATCACTTTTCCTAACCCATTCTATAATAATAACTAAAGACAACTGTATTTGGACCCTGTTTCTGGAATTGGCAATGTGCTGCCAAACTCTAGCCACTACAAAACTTTCCTTATAACAATGTCATCAACAACAATAACAAAAACCAGCCATAATGAGGTAGTATTTCAGAAAAGCATCCCAGGAAGCTATGGCTACCATTTACCATTTTAATTTTGACACAATTCTTCTGGGGATTTAACATTAATATTGTTCTATAATGATTATAACTTTTCCTATTTTCTCTTCTATTTTTTCATAATTTGAAATTTTGCTTAGCATTTGAACATGTTTTAAAAATTTAATAAATGAACTTTGAAATTTTATTTATATCTTAAGTATTATTCTTTACAGCTGACTTTTTTCAAGATTGTATATCTGAAAATGACCTGGATGAAATGAATATTGAACTCATGCGCAACAAACTGTACAAGGTAAACCCCAGTTGAATTCTATTGAATTCTGTTGTGTAGAGAAATCTGTGCAAATTAAGACTACTAAAATTAGTGGCAGATTTATCACTGGTATCATATAAATATATCTGAAAGATTAAGTACACATAAGATAAATATATTTATTACTGGCAGTGGCAAAAAAACCCCTCAAAGATACTCTGTGACTTCTGTTCTACTTTATGTTATTATCTGTCACACACAAAGTCATTCTGTTCAAGAATAGGATTCAATATATAGAATTTAGACAGGTTCGTGTGCAAAGGACACGTGGAGAAGACACAATGAGTATGTATTCTGTGTACTCCATAACATATTTTTCTGGCATGTTTAAATGGAAGCTTTCAAATCTCTCTGTTGCCAATAGACAAACAATAATTGTATATTAAAATATTGCATATCTAACTATGAAAAAGGCATTAATAACTTTCTGGGGGTTAATCTATTTAGGTTTGCTCACATCTAAGCCCTTCTGAGTTTAGTTAACAGATATTTTTGCATGAGGTTTCAGAAGTCATCCCAAGAAATTTTTGGTTTGCATGACAGAGAACAAAGTAATTCTTCCTACTTCTTCACTATTCCATCCAAGTTAATTCAACTGGCTAGATGGCTGACAAATTCTGGAGTTGAAGTCCACACATCCTAAAGCTGCCAATGTTCAAAAACCCTGGGCTACACATTCTTATTTTAACACTAAATGATTCTTCCACAGTGGACACAGCTTTAAAGATCAGAGGATAAGCTGTCTACATACAGCTCTGTTTTCTAACATTTGACTGCCATTCCTATGCCCTGACATCACTGTATCTAATGATAGGGCTACCCCTCTAGGGTTGCTGTTACAAGAAGCACTGTCAGCTGATGCTGAAACCTATTCAGCAATATTTCTAGTTATTAAGTAGAAACCAAGATTTCCAAATTCAACTGTTATTTTAATATTGCTCTTATGCAATATAGTTTGGGATGACATTCAGGTGAGCTAGAGGAATAGGCAAAGAAATATGCTCTAGTCCCAAAGATGCTTTTTCCAAAAGGCAACCGGACTTTCTTGTTTGTTTCCTTGAAAACATTTCACTTCTCATCCAAGAAGCTTCTTCAGAACTGAAGAAGCTTTTTGGATAAGAAGTAAAACATTTTCAAAGAAAAAAAACCAAGAATGTCCAATTACCTTTTGGGGGGAAAACCCACTTTTGGAACAACCATGAGCTGGATGATTGAGAATCTCCACAGACAAACATACAGTATTTCCTTAACTTACTGTAGTACATTTTCTGAGACAACATAAATATGCTCTCAAAATTTGTAGCACAGGCACTGGCTTCAACAGAGTTCCTAGTTTTCATATTGTTAATTACAGTCTCCAGGGGATAGGCAGAAATGTGCAAATTTGACAAATGAATGTGGAAGAAATTATCTTATCCCTATGCCTTACTTCTCAGAATCATATCCAAGATTGCTAATAGCAATCAAGTCAAATCAAATAGAAAGCAAACCAGAGAAAAGCATCCAGTTCTCCTCAGTGTCTTGCTTTACAAAAACCTATGAGTTAAAAGTTTAATGGTGGAAGAAACACATTAACCTTACTTTCATTCTGTAGTAAATAATATAAATTTTTCATATTTTTCCTATTATCCTGGACTTGCATCAAAATTAACAACTCCAGTTGAATCCTATTTGTGATCTTTTAAAGAGGGTTTTTAAAATAAATGTGTTGTTTTTCTGTTCTATTTTTTTAGTCCTATCTTGAGGCCTTTTATGCATTCTGCAAAAAAGAAGGTGGCACTACAGCAGATATAATGTGTCCTATTTTAGAGGTAAGAAAAATTTAATATTTCTTTTTTTAATCTATCACCATAGCCATCCTAGAACATAATGATAAGGTTGGAAGGAACCTTGGAGATCTTCTTGTCCAACTCCCTGCCCATGGCAGGAGAATCTATTCTATACCATTCCAGTCAAATGGCTGCCCAGTCTCGTCCTGAAACTTTCAGTGATGGAGCATCCCTAACTTCCAGAGGCAAGCTGCTCCACTGATTAACTGTTCTCACTGTCAGGAAATTTCTACTTAGTTTTAAGTTGAATCTCTCTTTTAATTATTTTTCCATCTATAGCTTTTTGTAATGCCCCCTGCCTTCTTCTGTGACTCTGTCTTCTTCTGTGACAGCCTCTCAAGTATTGGAAGACTATATCAGATTTCTCCTAAGTCTTCTCTTTGTTAGACTAGACTTACCTAGTTCTCTAAATCATTAATGGTTTGGACTGCAGATCCCTTATTATCTTTGTTGCTCTTCTCTATACTCTTTCTAGGGTCTCAGCATTTTTTTCTATCTTGGTGACCAGAACCAGTTTTGATAGGACACTCCCAATTTTGACCATTTGTTGTCTGTTTGACAGGAATGCTTCTATCCAGTTATGCAGTTGCCCAGAGATACCATAAGATTTTAGTTTTAGGAGTAGTTTGTCATGTACCACTGAATCAAAGGCTTTACAGAAGTCTATGTAGATTGCGTCTATTGCTTTGCCCTGATCGAGTTGTGTAGTCCATATGTTTTTGCAGTGTAAGAGTTGCAGATTACAGGATAGTTTTTTCCTGAAACCAAATTGTTTATTGGAGAGTAGGTTGTTTGTCTCTAAGTGGAGGATAATGGATTGGTTAATAATTGATTCCATGACTTTACAGGTGACGCAGCATAAGGAGATTGGTCTGTAATTTTCAACTAGGCTGGGGTCTCCCTTTTTGAAGATGGGGATGACTGTGGCTTGTGACCATAGGTTAGGCAAGGAGCTGGTCCTGAAAGATTTTTCAAAGATTATGCTTAGAGGTTCGGCTATGGCAGTGGATAGCTTTTTTAAGAAGTAGGCACATATTCCATCCGGTCCAATAGATAGAGATGGTTTTAGATTGTGTAGTGCTTTTTCAACATTGTCTTCTGTAAAATCGATATGTATTAGATCACTGTAGTTGTCTGTGGTTCGGCTAGGAAATACTGGGTATGATCCATTGCTGTTTACAAATACTGAGCCGAAGAATGTGTTAAAGATGTTGGCTTTAATGGTGTCATTGTTGCAGTCTTTACCATTAGGTCCTATCAGGGGTGGGATGGACCTTGAGTCTTTTAGTTTGTTGTTTACAAAATTGTAAAAAGCACAGTTGGAATTGGTACATAGAAGGTTTTCCTCTTGTTTAATGTTTTTGATTAGTATATGTGCACACACAGCCCTGAGAAGAAATTTAAGGCTAGAAAAATGATAAAATGCATATGCTATCTTTATTTTAATTAAAGATAAGTGCATCTCCCTCCACCTTCTATCCAGCAATCTATATTCATTTACTTTAACTTTCATCAATGGTTTCTTTTGTGTTCTTCTTCGCATGTGAAAATGGATCTGCTATATCTCCAGCACTAATGTATATTTATTGGACAGAAGTTGGACAAAAATGTATTAATGAAATAAACGAACAAGAATGCATTACATTAAGGGGGAATTGCTTACAAAAAGAAATATACAAACATGTAACACTAGTCAAGATTGCAAATAACATCTGTTTGGAACAATGTGTAAAAATGCATACATATTGTTATGTTTTTAAAAAGAAGTTTTAAACTCATAATGGAATGGAATTTACAAAAAAAATTGAATGGAAAACTAAGAAATTTATCAAAAGTTCAAATCAAAAAGATTGGAAAAACTGAGAAACCGAGAAAAACAGAAATTGATCAGTGAGAAACCGAGAAAAACAGAAATTGATCAGTGATCCATTGCTGGCACTTCTTTCTCTTATAGTTCCGTAGACACCTGTCCTTGGCATAACAGCCAGAATTAAATATTGCATAAAAAGTGATTCATTTCTGTAGTACACATAACCTACTGATTTCTTTTTAATAAGTAAGGTTTGAAATATTTCATTGGTTAAAAATCTAGATATTTCTGCACTGAACTGATTTTATTTGTGCTCTTTCAATGCTTCCTTTGCAATATGTTACATTACTAGGAAATAATATGAGTTCCCAGTGGGGTGGAAAAGGTGTTTACTTAACTTTTATATTATTAAAAAAGAAAGCTTAACCAGGTGGGGGGAAAAAGTTTTTAAAATCTACATTGCCAAAAGACAGAGAGGATTCCAGTGGATTACTAATACTAAGTGTAACAGTTGTGCATCTATGAATGATCCTTTAAAAATATGTAAAATTGTCATATGTTTTACTTTATTCAGTTTGAAGCTGACCGGCGGGCATTTATTATCACAATTAATTCATTTGGAACAGAACTAAGTAAAGAAGACAGACAGAAACTGTATCCAACTTGTGGCAGACTGTATCCAGAAGGCTTAGATATGCTTGCCAAGACTGAGGATTACGAGCAAGTGAAGGGTGTGGCAGATTACTATGCTGTATGTAATTTCCAAATTGTGCCTGATAAAAACATATTGTATCTATACCACTTTAGGATATATGTTGGCAAATTTTAAAAATCTTACATACTGGGTGTACCAGATTCTAAACAAAGCAAATGGATAACATTGAACCTGCTTCATTAAATGAAATGCATGGAGCTCTCTGCCCAGTGGTGGAGATTGCTATTTCCATTTCCTGTTCCTGTTTTTTTGAGACATAAAATACGGTAGTTCTGGAGGAATAACTGCTGATAAAAACTCTATGTTAACCAGTTGTTGAACATTTAGAAGCTGAATATAAGGGCTAGTTATTTGAACATAATATAAGAACACTTATGTATAATGGCTTCAAAGAAAAGAAATTTCTATTTTCTGGAATAGATAAATGTTTTTACCATAGACTTTATTTTGCCATCTTTTATGATCTTATAAAACTATAAATTATCAACATTATTTAATAAAATGATGTAGATATAGGTGCAAGACAAATTTATTTCGCATGGCAGTATTTCTCTACTTCTGTATGTGTAATAAGGAATGCTGAAAGTTATACTTGACACTAAGCTAGGTTATTCATCTTAATGCCTTGAATAAATCAGAATTATTTGGGATCACATAACACCCTGACTATAAACATGGCTTGTTCATCATGTTGACTGGATTTATGCAATATATTAAACCAAAACAAACCAAGCATATTATAGGTTATAGCATGTGTGAGCCCAATCCATGAAATTGGGATAGTACCATAAAAGATTCATTGTACACACATTAAACTGAATCAGGCCAGCAATCCACTTAGTTAGATTCTGTTTATAGTGACTGAACAGCAGTTCTCTTTAGAGATATTAGAACTGAATCCAAGAACTTATGCATACAAATGGGTTGTCATTGAGTGCTGGCCTCATAATCTTTCTCTGAAGGAGTATTTAAAGAAAGGCGAGAAAGAGAGAGGGAGGGAGGGAACATGCTTTGCAATTTATAAAACATGTGAAGTAGAACTATGCATTGAAGAATCAATTTACCAAGATCACTTTACCAAGAACAAAAATAAGTAATTTGTGAATGTTTTACATAATATTTAGTGACTGCTTGTGTTTTCAGGAATACAAGGCTTGTTTTGAAATGGTTGGAAGTGGTACAGGTGACAAAACCTTAGAAGATGCTTTTTTTGAGCTTGAGGTAAGATTTGATTGTCCTTTCAAACACTGTCTTCCCAAACTCTTTCTTTTCAATGTATTCTGAGATACTTGGTTTTGTGGGCCTCCCAACAGACAGATGTACTGTGGATGTACCTAAGATTAGGAAAGAATTTCAAAAAAGGTTTCCTAGATTAGTAGGTTGGAAAAGATGCATTATAAGGTGTCTCTGTATCTCCCCATGTAACCAATAGAACAAATTGCTATCACCTAGCTGTCTGCCTGCTACCTATCTACCTACTTATCTATCATGCTGCCCATCTCCCCCTACAATGCGACTCTGGGCTTATTTGATTTTCTTCAGAGAGACTTCAATTTATTTTAAATTCTGAGAATTGACTGAGACATGAAGGGATTGAAATCACTGTAATCGTGTGTAAATTCATGTTTCATGAATATAATAAAATGAATACTAAGTTATAATACACATTTCATTAATTTTAATACATTATGTCTTTAATGTAATACCCACCCTTTAAATATCTTTTGGCACACCCATCCTCTTTTGCAGTGAGGGCCTTTCTCATATGCGACTCAAAGGTTGGTATGGCCTTTGTTCTTTGTAAGATTCACAAACTTCCCTGCTTCTAATAAAAAAGATGTATTTTTTAACCTTTGTGATAAGTGGCATACAACTTGTCATTCTTCATCAGAATGATGAAAGCAGCATCAGAATGTCTGGCCAAAAAATCCATCCTTATGGGGCAGGTATAATGTCACAATGCATATAAAAAAGGGCTGGAGCAAGTAGCGCAATACCACAATGCTACGTTTGACAGTTTTGCCCTCCTTGCCCCTTCTGTAAATGCTGCTGTTTTTGATGATCCTGTGAGCTATTTGAAGCATTGCCACAAATGTTCAGATATAGTTAAACCTCAGGCAAGCTTTTACTGAGCAAAGCAAAAGGAAAATCCATTTAGATTTACTGCCATTTCTAAAGCTCTTTTGAATTCTGAAGAGAGAAAGACATGATTTACAGGTAACCAGTTATCGTTTTTTTAAAATATATATATAATTAAATATATTTCTCCTTTTGTACAGGTAAAAATGAACGTGCTGGCATTTAACAGTCAATTTCATTTTGGAGTTTTTTATTCCTACGTTAAACTGAAGGAACAAGAAAGTAGAAATGTTGTGTGGATTGCTGAATGCATTTCTCAAAGGCACAGAACAAAGATTAACAACTATATCCCTATATTTTAAATTGATTGTTAGTGTGCCTATTGTCATTTATTAAGGGTTCTTTACTAAATTATTCCTCCAAAAAAAAACCAAACCCAGTCTGTTTACATATTTGGCCATTAGGAAGAAATTGTCTTAGAATGTAGCATTTTGTTGTTCCCACATGTTAGATCTATTCAGATGAAATAACTCCTGGCATGATTTGAGCAATGTTCAGTTATTATATTACAACAAAGGTAAGGTGAATACAAAAGCTTGTGATTAGGATGTTTCAAATATCCTACTTTACAAAAGGCAGTCATACATTTAAAGGGCTGTCAAAGATGATTTTCCATATAAAGGCAAGCTCCACTTGAAGAGATTTTCAAGATGCCTGTGGCTTAAAGATAAATAAGAATCAGTTTAGATAGTACTTTAAACTGGGATGCTTGTGAATAATTAGCAGCTGGAGCAAAGGTTTCTGTGGGTGTGCTCAGGATATTGAATCTGGTGGCAGAGGGGTGCAATTGAAGCTGTGGGTGTTTTAATGTGTGTCCTATATGTCAGGGGTCCCCAACCGCCGGTCCGCGGACCGGTACCGGGCCGCGGAACAAGCCTTACCGGGCCGCTGGTTGCTGGGTGCCGCCATCTTTTTTTTGGTAAAAAAGCGCTTCTGGTGAGCTTTTCCGGGTAGAAAGCTCACCGGAAGCGCTGTTTCGTCATAAAAAGATGGCGGCGCCAGCGCTTCCGGTGAGCTTTTCCGGGTAGAAAGCCATTTCTACCCGAAAAAGCTCACCAGAAGCGCTGGCGCTGCCATCTTTTTATGACGAAACAGCGCTTCCGGTGACGTCACCGGAAGCGCCTTTTCGTCATAAAAAGATGGCGGCGCCCAGTTGACGCCGGTACCGGGCCGCGGCGCCCAGCTGATGTCGGAACCGGGCCGCGGCGTCGAAAAGGTTGGGGATCCCTGCTATATGTGATGCACATAGTCAACAGGTATACCATTAATTATGGCTGCCGTATTGATTTTTCTGAGAATAGAATAGAATAACAAAGTTGGAAGGGATCTTGGAGGTCTTCCTGCTCAGGCAGGAAATCCTATACCATTTCTGACAAAATGGTTGTCCAATCTCTTCTTAAAAACTTCCAGTGTTTGAGAATTCACAACTCCATGAAACACTCCCTCAACTGGAGAGTAAGCAAAGACACACGAGTCACCACATCATAGCCTTCCATACTTTGTCAAAATGGATCTCATTTTCTATTATGTCACAGTAATTATTTTAAAATCTGTCTTTATTTTATGCAACATTGTGCCAAATTTGATCCTTTTGGGGGTTCAAATTTGTTGCCACCCAAGAATTGTGATAACACTGTGGAAAACTTGGTCCCTCCTTAATGAACAGCAGAAAAAAATATCCATTTAGTGCAACAACTGCAATATGTTAAACAGCCAAACTGATTTCTATCTAATGACTAAATTAGGTTAATTGGGCCTCTTTCTAGAATGAGGCAACTAGGAAACAAAGGTAATAATGAATGAAAATTCAAAGAATATTTAATGGAATAGTTCTGCTTCCTGTTGGTTTCACACACACACACACACACACACACACACACACACACACACGTATATGTATGTGTGTATGTGTGTATGTGTGTGTGTATATATGTTTTCTTAAGTTTTCGCGGGTACTTACATGTATGGTATTCAGCTTTGTTCAGGTATTTTCCCACGTCATTATAGTTGTGCTATATATATATGCATATATACACTGTATATTCATATTTCCTGTTTAATACTTAACAGTGTACGGAATGTTTAGAGTATAATTATTGTAGATTTCTTTGGGTTTTCTGTGACAAAGATGCCTTCAATTTGATCCAGAGCCTTTTAAATACATATAAAGAAAGCTATCCTCTAATTTTAACTCTTGAGGAAGGGAAGGAATATTTAGCCTTACTGTGCTTCTATTATTTACTAGTGGGTGTCTATGCTTAATTAAGTTTTGAGTATCATTAAGTCATCAATTGTGGATAGATATTCCAATAGATCAATTCAGAATTTACTGTGTGATCTCCAAGCAATATTTTCTATCTATGTGTATTAAGGTATTTTCTTTTTCTTTTTTTAAAACTCCTCCCTCTCTGTAGAAATATGAAACAATAACTAGCCATTGAAGGCTTTTGTGTATTGAAGGTTAAACTATAGGAGATTCTATTCACCTAACATTTTTTAAAAAGTAGTATAATCTGATATATTAAATAACTATCAAAATTATAGTGAAGAACTTCCTTCCAATTCAGATAGCAGCTTCAGAGGAGTGATTTTCTTCTGGGTCAGAACAATAGAGAAAAATGTTAAACTGCTTATGAGTTGGATATAAATATTACAGTCTGCACTTCTAATAAGTTGTATTGTGTTTCTCAAAATGCATTTAATATCACAGCTGGTTCTAAGAAATGCTGTCACTGATGGAGAAGAGAGAAAGGAAAAGAAAAATCTTTTTAAAGCTCATGTATTTCATTAAAAAAATCAAATTATATGCAGGCTTTGAGTTAAATGTCAAGATTCTTATAATGCTCTATTTATGAATCAGAGTCAATAAGAAACCACAAAGACAAAATCAGCCCCATTCTCTGGCATTTGCTTCCCCTTTGAGGCACTGTATGTTGCAACAATAGAAGTTTAATCTCCCTTAATACTATTTTGAATCTTATTTTTTAGTTATTTTGAGTTATAATTGCTGTTTTAAAAAGTTGTAATAAGTGTATAAAATACAGTTATAATTTTAACAAAGTTGAATTATATATATTTGTTGCTGCTTGGTTAATAAATTAGTAAATAAATTGTCCAGAAATGCAGTGCAATATCATCAGCACAAATGTTTCAGTTTTTCTTCTGTGTGAAGATTTGCTTGCTTTAAATTTGTGAGTATGTGTGATATCTACATGTATACATATAATACATTGAAACAACCAACATACATTTATCCAATCTGTAGGCTAGACTGGGAAGTTCATGAAGTTATCAGAATTTCAGTTTGACTTCAAGGAGATTCTACCATTTTAAATATATACATAAGTCTATAAGAAAACTTCTTTGTTTTCTCATTTGATGAAATAAAATATGTTTCAATGGATTCAATGGATAAGTTGGATTATATTGCAAATGTGAATTAAGAGTTTTCTTCTGTTTTTATGTTTTATTTCTCTTCAAGAAAATGAAATATTTCATACATTCTTCTTTTAATATGGACAAGGTAGAACCCTTCATTTATTTGAGAGAGAATTCAACTTTTTTTTCAACCACTCCTGTTGGACAAGGAGGAGACTGAGGTTAGTCAGATATGCTACTCTGATATTCTCACCATAAGGTTTAGGACAACTCACTGCAGCAACCTCACCAAGGCTCTCATTGAATCAATCTGTTGTGGGACAACTTGCCACAAATCCATGAGGGATAATTCAATTTAATAAATGCTATCTGCTACTGTTTCATGGACATTATTTCCATTTTTCTCAATGGAAATAACAGTGGAAGATAACATTTATCACATTGAGTTATCCCACATAGAATTGTCCTGGGGCACGTTGCCTGCAGCAAGATGGCTGTGATGAGTTGGTCGTGGTTAGTTGTCCCATTCTGCCCACCATAGTTGAGATGAGGGGAGGCAGGAGATGAAGAAAAAGCAAAAGGAGAGTGTGTTAAACATGACAGGATAGGCTGGAGGAACACAGCAATTTTGTGTGATGGTTAAGGCACTGGCCTAGAAACCAGGAGACTATAAATTATGGTCCTGCCTTAAGCATGAAAGCTGGCCAGAGGACTTTGGCCCAGTTACTCTCTCAGACCAACACACCTCTCAGGATTGTTGTTGTTGTTGAGGGAAAATAATTAGAGGAAGGAATATTAGGTATGTTTGTTCTCTACAGTTAGAAAAGTAATAAAGGTGGGCTAAAAACAAATCAATAAATCATACTTGGATCATGATCCTTACTCCTGACGCTATCACAGCAAAGAACAAGCTTACAAACTAAGACATCAGTGATGTGAGAGGAGGGAAGAAAAGAAAAAGTGCTGGGAACCAATGGGCTGGTCCGCTGATCATGGGGGCTGGGGGGCAGTATACACCGTAAGCTCTATACTTCTTAATTTACATAATTAATGTTATAGGGACATGAGATAAGTTTGGTTTGTTTACTTACTGAAGTAATGGCCATTTGGAAAGACAAGAAGGAGGAGGAGGAGGAGGAGGAGGAGGAGGAGGAGGAGGAGGAGGAG